TAATATACTGTATCCTATAGTAAGTATAACGATCTAGGGACGAAGTGGTGGACAATTGAACACCCACGTTACGTTTATTTTGAAATAAAACAGTAATGACGTGACCCAATGATTGCAGTGAATGGGTGCAAGATGGTAAGATGTCTGGGACCATGACATTCGAATAAAAGAATCTGTATTTGTTTCAATTGTAAATCAGTAAAGGTACAAACACGCTGTGCCAGTCAAATTGGCATTATTCCCATGGCTTAACGGCTTGCATAATGGGAAAGTATCTCGAGTACCGTAATGTTATAGTGTTGTATAATAAAACTGAATAAATATACTCAGCGAATTGCACTCCATTAGTGTATAATTGACCTTCATAAACACATTACTATAATACTGTTAGTTAGGCCTATGCATTAAAATGTGTACAGTTGTATTTGAACCTATGTCGACATTACAAAAAAATAAACATTTATATAACTACTCATATTTTTTTTCAGAAATATTTATATAACAGCTTCTAATTTTTTTGTTCACAAAATTTGCGAATACCAACATGTATCCTGACACAGGCCTACCATGATATTGCGCGAATCATGCGTTTCATGGGTCTTTACACGTTGCCAGCAAAACACCTGTCTACCAACTACAGTAAGGTGTTGGACCTGATCTAAGCACCCGAAACATGATTTATGGCTGGTCGGCAAGGGGTAGTTATTGTGCTAGTTTCCTTCATAAAGAAATTAAAAAATAGTCAATTGTCAATGGCAGGTACTTAACCTATGCCGCTTTATGGTTGTTATTGGCGTTTATGACTATATATGGCGGCACTTTATGAGAAAGCTAAGAAAGCACGAACAGAAATGAAGGATTGGGTACACGATAATTCGTACGCACCATAATGCACAATTACCGAGTAGAGTCAGAATCTATACTTTTTATTCGGATTTCTCATGGTATATATTACGGATGGCGCATCTCTTACAATATCGTTGCTTTCTTGCATATTTAAATATTTGCAAAAAACCCCCATTTGTTAGTTATATTATTATAATATACAGGCATAGGCGTATTATAATGTAAGCCTACTGTATACCTCAACATAATTTTAATGATTAAGTAATAATTTCTAATTGATGATTTTAACTAAGGCACTACATAACTAGTCATCAATGTGATCGAGTGCGATGTTCGAGTAAATGAATAACAGACATTAATAAAATCAGATAACACGGTTAACAAATATTTCGTCCAGCCCTCAGAAGCAAGAGAAAATATTCATGTGCAATAAAATGTTAAACAAATAAGTCAACAGTATTATCTGGTTTTGTCAATGTCTGTGTTACATGTACAGTATATAAATCATGATATGATATATAAAGATAACTAAAGATGTGTATAAGAGACAGTATATATATATATATATATATATATGCATGCTAGGCCTATATATCAGTGCCATAAATTTTCGTATCTCCCTCGTGCACCACGCGTAGCGACCTCAAACAGGTTTTAAATGTAAAAATTGATATTAATGCGTGACTTATAACGCACAATTTGTGGTCGTATAATTCAATTTTGGTTCAAAAATCAACGGAATGTGTAGCAATGTCAGGCATTTTAGATATACATGCCTAGCGTTGATGTTACATTTGGCGCAAAGTTAGCCTTTACTTCATTAATAACGTACAGTGATTGAATTCCATCCTGAATTGAGGTGCAAAGCTTCAAATAGTAACCATGACAACAGTTAGGTATCTTGTCAATTTGTACCTGCCCTGCTTGTCAGACGAATCGAATCTCCACCCATGCCGCTAAGATCAAAGACATACCGCTAGCGGACAAGGCCTTCTGTGGAGGACTTGGTTATATGTATTTTTTGTTGTGTGTTAGTTTCTAAAGCAGTAATTGATCTCTGCATAGGGCCATGATATTCACACGACAGTGCGACGCACTGTAATCAATCGCATCGAATTGTTGTTTCCTATATTTCAATTAGCTTTCGTGTCGGCGTCTTCTAAGGCGAGATGAATAAGAACCCGCTTTACTTTGGCGGCAGGCCTGCATAGATGTGCTCATGCCTTTCAAAGCAGATCCGTTTCACAAGACAGCGACAACAACACCTTCGTTTCCTTTAAGACGTCACCCAACAAACGCCAACTAATAGTGAAACAACACGCATCGCGCCCATTATTTACGCTAGTGTGTTTAACACACATTTCGGACAAAAGTGTTTAGTGTTGCCCATTAAATTTTCTAAGGCGATGAATGTAATAGCTATTGATCTCGAACTTAGGTCAATAGTATCTTTCTCTTTAAACTGCATCAATACGCGCAACTATTTGTTTACCAATAGTTCGATTGAAATTGATATCCCATGATCCAATTAAATCTGTTCCGAACCCGGAAACAAACATCTTTTAAAGACTGCTTTAAAGACTTTTTTTACTACAAACTTGTAGTAAACTGATTGACTTTCGAAAGTGCTTAAAATTGGAGAGGATTCCAGTACGTCATCACTATTGATTTTGACGTAGGCCTATTATATTTCCAAACGATAGTAAAATTTGCCCTTAAAGTGTATGTATTCGATTAGACTATATGTTAGTTAAAACTGTAATAACAAGCATACAGTAGGCCTACAGCCAAAAATTTAGAATATGAATGATGGTCAAAAACTAAATCGACGAGGTAGGCCTATACGGTAGGCCTCACTCCAAGTACGTTCCAAAACGGTTGTTTAGTAGAAGCCTAAATACGTATTTTATAAGTCCAAGCTAAATAACTTTTTCTAATGTTGCTAAAATTTTTTTTGTGTTTTTTTGTTTTTTTAACGACGTATTTTCTGAAAAGCTAAACACGACGTTTGTTATATTTATATTAGAACGTTTTGTGTTTTATATATTTTTGGCCCAATTTCAAGTTTTAAGTTTCCGTCTATCGCTATAGTATCGTTTTACTGGGTGTCTTAGACTGTTCGCTGTAACGTACCTCATGAATCGCGCATTGTTCCTCATCATAAATAGCTCCCTGAAATGAATGATCCCGGGAATAATCGGGGTTGCAATAAGGGTGAAATCGCATTCCTGAAGCTTACCCAATGAATGTCGTCACAAGATATCCTTTAAGTAGTGATTGTGAGAAGAAACTTGCATGAAAACTGACTCGACAAACCCCACAATATGCGTGTCAGAGAGATATGGATAATGCGAAACATATCTACGTAGACCTATTTATGATTGTCAATGAAGCGAATATGAGGATTTAGTGAACACAAATTCAAATGAATAATAATAATTATTATTATGACATTAGGCTGTCTGACATTAGGCTGTCTGTATATATACTTGACACTTAACGTGGGTCGTTCGCCAAAGACCATACCGTATATATTGCTAGGGTGGCGTCAAGGTTTGCCCGACGGGGGTTCAAGGTTCCCGACCGGTGGGGGGGGGGGGATTCTCTGACGAGAGCAAAGTTGGCGTGGTCCGGTTGGTCCTTTAAAATTATCTAAAAGTAATCCCAAGAGACGAAGCCCCCGATAAATACAGTATGACAATTAAGGTTTCAAAGGCTTATTTATCGACTTTAAAGTCTAATATGTAGGAAATACATTCCTTTTTTTTTTTTTCTCCCCAACGAATTGTGGTGTTTCTCCCCGACGGTGGTCGTGGGGGGGCTCTTTCCCAAAGGGTAACAACAGATAGAAGCCAGAGGGCCGTTATAAGGTGGAAATATAAAATGTATATTTTCACAAGTAACTGCAAATAACTACACAAATCTTCAAATTCCTCTCCCACCCCTCGTAGCGTCGCCACTCAATTAAAACCGCACCTTAATAAAATACCACTGGAGTTGGGTGAAGCTATACTGTCCATTATAATAATGATAATTTATCGTGCTATAATTATAACATAGCTCAGTCGGCTAACTGTTGGTCGATCGTGGGATCCAAGATAGTTGGTTCAATGCATTGCGGCCCTCCTTGTGTTGCCGATGGATGGCTGAAATGCAAGTTTAGCTCATAGCGCATTAAAGAGCCAGTACACTCTTCGGATTGTCTCCCAGTGTACTGCCAAACTCACCACCAAATAGTACTGTATGATTTCAAAAAACGTGCTTCTTTATTCCAGGAGGTAAAGAGTGCCTACAAGTAGCAGTAAAACATAGGTGCAGAAATAGGTTAAAAACGTCATCGAAACGTCATTGTGAGATAAACATGCTGCCTCTGGTATACGATGATGGTGACAGCGTAAGTGCTTTTAACGTTATATTTAATAATAGTAAAACAAATAATAAAGATGATGATTGTAATGGTAATGATGATCTTGATCATGGCACCATTTATGTCTATACATTTATTGAACTTGTATAGGAAAACATTGACTTTTGCAGGGTTTGAACCCCAAACCGTAAGATTAGAAGCCGAGCACTTAACCACTTTCTCTTTATCTATTGATATATTTAAAAATCTAATCTTTGTATTTTTAGTCGTATGAACAGCAGCTAAAATGCATCGATTCTTCGTCTTACGCAAGGTGCCCGAACTTCAGGACTGGTGTCAGTAACTTAACGAACAATTGTGAATTGGAAACGAACACGAAACGATGCCAAAACCAAAAGGTGAATGTAAGTAGATCTATCAGTACTTAGCCACTCCCTCCGAATACTTCAAACATAATATAAGGAAGCATGTGCGTAACATATTTTATACATACTGTAGTAAATATATAGAAATCGTGTGCCAATTGAACATTAAACTTATCCCTAGCTTTCAATCCCGTGATGGACCGCTATAACGCAATTTACGGAATTTACGGGTCTCTACAGCCCTTTCTAATGTACCCGGTCTCGGAGTGTGGCGGCATTTGAAAAAGAGTTAATATCACAGAAAGATTATTACAACGCCGACAAGTAGGCATATACTTGTAACCTCAGTTAATGAGATCCATGTAAATTGATCTATATATTCATTGATCGTAAAAAACACTGATATTTCTAATACAGTCAATTCAAACACAAATGCATTAAATACTATCGTAATAGCTGACGAATTACGAATACACACACCTGATGATATTGGTGTTTAAATCCGTTTCGTTTTATTTATTTTTTTTTTTATTACAGTTCGGACGTCGATGTAAACTACACGAAACGTGTGATTATGGTGTAATGATATCTGGCGGTTGGAACAGACAGGCTAGTCTTAGGCGACACGCCGACAACATAAGAAGTATGTACGCAATGTTACGAGATCAGGGGTTCAAGAAGCACAACATCAAAATGTTCTTTGCGGATAATACTGACATTGAACGTACGTACCTCATTTGCTTTTCTTTACAAATGTGCATCTAATCAACTGACAACTTAATTCGAGCCTTGAAATAGCCATCTTTGTTTAATCTCGACGATATATGTATCCTGAATCATATATCCTTAATTAAGGGCACATGGAAAAAAATTGTTAGATTATCACTCGCCGCCCCGCCCGCGTCCAACATTTGAGAATATTGATGCGGGAATAAAACTGTTGCATGCCCATTGGTTGACCATATTTAGGCATGTTTTTGTCAAATAAAATTAGTGTTTAAGAAGTCACTTTAAATTACTGAAAATAATTATGATAGTGTGAAAATATGATTTTTCCACGACGAAAGTTGCTCATTAGGTTGCTTTGCATATCTTCATAAGTCAGTAGGCCCTATATCATATTCAATTGTAGGTTCTATTTTAAATAAATATATATATATATATATATATATATATATACATATATACATATATATACATACTGTGCAGAGTAGGTTGGAAGCAGATCATCTAGACAACAGTGCTCGATACATAAGCAGAGCAATATAAAATCAAAACAAGATGACGCTTGTAACCAACCAGCTTTACTAGCTAAAAAAAAAATACAGTTTATTATTATTATTATTATTATTATTATTATTCAATCTGAACAGTCTATGAGACAAGCAGTCAGCACGTTGACAACCGTTTCCCAGCAACGCAAAAGAACGCAATTCGGAACCACCTGAGTGGACTTTGCAGCGAAGGGTGTAACGCCGACTCGTTGATCATCTACCTAAACAGCCCGGCTTTACCTGACGGGAGGAGTCTTTTGTGGGATAGCGATGGAAATGGCCAGGTGAGTGGCAAGGAATGAAATTGTCTAGAGAGGGCGACATACAAATTTAAAGCGATATCAAGACTATCTTATCAAGATCAAAGCATCGTGCAAAAACAATTAATGTTTAATGGTTTTCTTTCTTTTTTTTTCTTTTAATGCTTTTTGAACTCATCATATACTATAAAATAAACAACTAAAACACATATTTTTCTACCTTTCACATTATTATTGTAGTTTTATTGTTACTGTTTCTGTTATTGTTGTGGTAATCGTTGTCGTCGTCATCATCATCATTATTATTACAGTGATTATAATTATTTTCCACAGATGGACGCGAGTGAGATGCTAAGTGTCAGGGAACTTCTGGAGGATATTGCCAACTGCCAAGCAGCTCATGTCTACATGATAATAGATCAAAGTTATTCCGGAATATTTGCCGATGAAATAAGAAAATCAAATGATCATGATAATGTGGTCGTATTCACCAGTGGAAATAAAACCGAATATTCATGGAGGAGCGATCTTACGGACATGTGGTCCCATAGCAACCACACGCAACTTTGCGTAGATGAGGTTTATGAGGTAAAAACAAAATATGCTTTAATTATTCTTTATTTATTACCTCGCATTTATGTCATATCGGGCGTTCTATACATTCTAAACTTCATCAGGCGTGAAGTCTTTTATGTGGCAACTACGCCACATCACAAGTTAGAATATGTATTTTCAACAGGAATCGACATGACTGAATATGGATATCGAAAATAGCTTAAAATAAAACTTATGTTACATAATGAAATGGTAATTTAGGGTTAGGCCCCTATATGATTTGGTTTGGACTGCTATTATTCTACACCCATTGTCTTTCAATAACATTTTAAATTCACAAAATGTTCAGTCTTTGTTATCGTCGTCAAGATGACCTTGCAATGTTATTGTTCTACGCATAAAGTAAGTCTATATGTCTCAGCTTTTTCCATTTCTATTTCAGACGTACTCGGATTCGTTTACCGATTCGACGCCGAGAATGTTAGAAGGATCGATGAATGCCGCTAACACAACCGTATTTGGAGGCAAGCCATGTTATTTGTTGCCATATATGACGAACAAAGAAATTCGCTCCTCATTCATGGGATGTAAATATAACCCGTTTGGAAGGCACAAGATTTAAAATTACCCCTGAAACAAATTATGTCAATAATAACCAATCTCATTATTAAGGATTCGCAACAGCATATTCGTTCGTCAACAATGTTCGTCCACAAACAGGTCAAACCGTCAAGGTTGTTTTCAGGAAGAAAAGGATGTTAAACAAACATGAAGAAATTAACTATGTACTGTTTGACATTTTCTAAATGCAAACTCACGTATGTATGATAATCTAGGCCCTATCTATACAAAGGAATTCTACGTAAGGCGGTCTCAACAAGTTGATGATGTACAGTAGGCGGGGGCCTAGTAGGCCGCTACGATGAGCGTAGGTTGGTCTAATGACGAAACGTTGCTACGCACTGAATCACACGTCAATTAAAGTTCGTGATCGCAGATTTATACATTTTCAACAGGCATAGGCTATATGGATAATTGCGGGCTCGAACATAGCTATGTCGTCAGCTCGTGAGGTGGTCATTAATGGTGCTCTTTCTATTCTTTACGTGGTTGATAGTTGTCTTGTTAACGAGAGACGTGCGTGAAATGATGGACGTGTACGTCCGCAAAATGCTCGGAAGGCACATATACTGTGACTGAGAATGCATAAAATGCTCGACTTGGTGTAAAAATATGTCTAATTAAAAAAAAACCGATATATGCATCAAATGTTATAAATAATGTCGAAAACATTGTAAATATTGTAATAATGTGAAAAATAAAATAAAGTTTATATTATTATCCGAAAATGTTTTTTTTATGTTTTATTATGATAATGAATATTATTTAATGGGTTTTAGCATTTTATCAAGCTTAACTGTAATAAAATACATTGTGCACACTTTTTTGAGAATTAACAATAATGTTTGACACTTCGGACCCATTATCAATTCTCCAAGAACACAATTGAGTTCATTGAATACCCATCTGACAAGGGGTGGCGCCAGGATTTGCCCGACAGGGTGTCCGAGGTCTCTGACAGAGGGAGGCGCCAATGTCCCCGAGACAGAAAGGTGGGCGTGGTCGGGCGCCGCTCAAAATATTTCGAAAGTGGCCCTGGGGAAACGCCTAAATATTTACAATTTAGGGGTTTAAAAGGCTTATTTAATCGGTTTTAGGGTCTACTAATATGTAGAATACATATAATTGTTTTTCTTCCGACGAATGGCGGGGGGAGGGGGTTGGGCAAGCTCCCCAGCCCCCGCTGGCGCCACCCCTGCATCTGACATGCCTGTTACCGTATATACTCGCACGCGTAGATAAGGCGGTGATCCGCGTATAAAACGACCATCGTTTTACCGTCTGAATTCCTGCTTTCGATATGATCCACTCTGATAGTACCAAGCCTGCATTTAGCCTTCAAATCCCCGTATCCAAGCCATTGGTATGTATATCCAAACTGCTTAGACCTATTTTTGATGCTATATATTCAGGGACGGATCCAGAAATATCCAAAAGGGGAAGTGGGTCGAGAAAATACTAGGGGGTCCGCCCGAAAATAACCTCTAAGGCGTTTTGGGCAATCAATTCTTTCATTTTTTTCCCTTCTTTTTTTAACCATGGACCTATTAATAAGGTCTTATTAATAGGTCCATATTTTAACCTTCCAAAAGGGAGACCAGGGACGCCCCCCTGCCCCACCAAATCATCCCTGATATTCTTGATACTGCATCTAACTTGCTAAAAACGGAGCCAAAAGCAATGTTACTCTTCCAAAGAGATTTTAAATGTTCATCAAAATCTTATTTCCCCGTATTACGTTCATTCTTAGTACATTTAGTAGCTTCACTGCAGTAGTTACGGACAATCCGCACAAATGATAAACATTATTTAATTAATTAAAAAATCTAAAATTTGTACGGTATGTCGCCCTGTTTTTTCGATTGTAGTTTGCTATCCTCGCACAAATTCCTCCATAACTAAAACACTGTGAATTCCCCATCATTGTACACTCATATAGAATAGTAATACTAGCTAATTTCAATATAAATTTATTAATAATCACAAATGGAAGAGTGTAGTGTACAATATCTGTATAACTAAAATGGATAAAATTACTATAAATTAATTAATATGCAATTTTGGAGACTGGCATAGTCTTACAAAGTGAGTTTATTGCACATTAGATTTAATAAACATCCAATGAACAATCAATCACATATACGTACTTAATAGAATTCTGTACCCAAGTTGCAATAACACAGTATAATATTGAAAATAGTGGTTACAGCATTAGGAACATACCTAAAGCCAAACACCACACCATACACGCAAGATCGTATCATATAGATGTCATCAAACGTAATCTTCCCAATGAGAGGTTAAAAGCACTTGTTCAGAATCAAGGGGGAGAGGGAAGCCAGGCCACCATTAAATCAATCTTATTCATACCAGTTCATCAATTCTTTTGTAATCAAATAGCTGGACTTGAAGAATTATGTATATAGGCCTATACATATTTCAATTCTATATATTGCTACAGACATAATATTTAAAACTTCTGAGTTTGACTTTTTCATAAGCGCCATCAATCATCACTGTTACTGCAATGGATTCTGGCGGTAAAAATGTACCGATTGATTGGTTGCTTGACATATAGCTCACTTCAATTATTTAAAGGCATGTACCAATGTGATTTTGTATCAAGAATAAATAAAAATTGAATGCAGGTACCAATGTAGATAGACTCTTGCATCAGATTCCAAAAATGTCCCACAATAACAAATTATGATGTTTGCTCCAGAGGCGAGACAAATTAGCATTTTAATGCCCTTCCCAGGAAAGCATATGTGATAAAAGCTGGCATGTAGCTGAGTGGTATCCATAGCAACTTGGCATCGAGGCCAACACTGTAACGTTTCTTTGGGTACTTGGCAGTCAGTGCATGTTCCATGGCATCCACTACTTTTTCGGTTCTCGTAGAAGGTGCCTTGATCAGAAAGTCTTTAGCTGAATTCATTTCTGAAATTAAAAAAAAAAAACAAAAAACGAATCATAAGTGTTGCTCAAGCACAGTGTCGGCATTAGGGCCTATGGTCGGTTATTCACTGATTAAAATATTTTATTTTCTTTTTTCAGTATATGCCTAGATGTAGTTGGAAGTGTTGGGGGCCTCATTCATTTTATTGATCGATTCACGAATGTTACGAATGTGGCCAAAGAGGCCCCTTACATTATTTAAATTTCAGTTTGTAGTGGAGTCCTGTGAAACACTTTCAGGTTGAAAATTAATATTGAAGAGAAGTGCTGTGCGAGTCGACATAGGACGTTTTGTGAGTTCAAAACTTGGAATTACTGTACATGGTTTTAATTTGCTGGTTTTTGGTGTCTTCTACTAAACCATAATATCCAGGCCCTGTTAAATAGTGCTGTTCGTTAGTAAGGGGCCTGGGTGTATGGCACTGTATGTAATGCTAGGGTTCTTAGCCAACTATGTTTTATGGCACAGATGGGCAAAGTGCCGCATGCAGTCCCACAAATAATTACAAACCCTATGTGTGTGTGTGGCTCCCCGACTATCTTTTGGCTAGAAAATACCTTGTTTTTATGGCCCAACACCGATCATCTGAAAGTAATATTAAAACTGAGCATAAAGTGGCATAAAAGCAGTGCATGAAGGTTTCGCGATTGCACTAGAAACATCAAAGTTTCGGTGCTGCCCTCAGTGTTAAATAAAAAATCACTTTGGCCATCCGACCCATTTTTATGCCCACCCCTAATTTATGGTTGGTTAGCCCATGCTCATAGGCGTTAAACCACTGAGACTGGCATAAGAATTTGTGTAACTGGTTTTAATTACCAACAAAAACAATTTTCTTTAGTAGTATAAATACAGGCATGGGAACAGATCATGGGGAGGGGGAAAGAAGAAATAGGGAAACCCCCCATATTTTTAAGGGTTAAGGGAAGTTCCCCATACATTTCATCCGCTATGTAAATTCAAGTCAAAAAGATGCCTGAAAATAGTTGAAATGTATTGCCTAAATGACCCAGGTTTTAATGAAAGCCGACTGTACAGAGTTTTGTTTTTGTTCATTGTCTTGTGAAACAAGATCATAAAAAATTTGTTGGCGCTTCATTTTGACTATATAATGGTGATGCGATGATGATGAATTTTTCTAAGTGTCATTTCCAACCATGGTGGGGCTGAGGTGGAGGTGGACTCATGGTTTGAAATAAAGTAAATACACAAAAGACAATGTTTTTCAGTTCTATTTTATTTACATCTTTATGTTTGCTGAAAATTGCTGATAAAAGATCATTAGAAAATTGTTGGCGCTTCATTTTGACTATATAATGATGATGTGATGATGAATTTTACTATATAAAAATGTCATTTCCAGCCATCTAGAGGTACTATTTCACCTCTCAGCCCTAACCATGGGCTGAGTTGTGTGTGGCCTGATAAAATGTCAACACCCCCCCCCCATCACAATTCAAAACAGATCTGTGCCCTTGAATACAGCAGAAAGTATGGTTATCAAGAATGGATCAAACAAATTAACAAACCTAAGAACAATGTAAAATCATAGACACTAATAAATATAATGAAAGCAAACAAATGGAAATAATCAGGATAGGCACTGGAAGAAAAGAAGGAAGTTGGTCACTATATCATTAGTCAGCATATCAAATACAGTAGACAACATTATTGTTAAATGTGACATCTTTAGTTACATAAAGTAGCATGCATACATACTTTCTTTCATAGTTTCTTCACCCCCATATTCCTCATGGATTTCTTGACCTAAATCTTTCCATCTTTCCTTTAATTTTGGCAAAATATTCTCTGGATTACATATAGCTGTCTTGAAAAACCCAGGCTCAATGATGCTGACAGATATTCCAAAAGCTTTCAATAATACCCTATAGAAGAGTTGCAAGACATTTAGTCAACTTACACTCTTAAGATAAGGTAAGGATAAGATAAAGTTTATTGTCATGATCACAAAACAAGACAAACATGAAATTTGGTTTCCTTGATTCTTAAACTACACAAATAATACAGGTAAAATAAATAAAAAAACAAAGATTAATTGTACAAAATAATACTGTACATAGGCCCTACATGGAAGACTTATTGGGGTGGTGTTTGGGGGTTTGGTTTTTGGAACCCCCTTTTGAACCAGTTTACAACTGTAGTAGTGTTTTATCATAATATTCTTTATTAAAGAAACACTTTTCAGAGGTTATATTTTGCCTATAGGGAATTCCCTGTCCCATGAACCTGGTTACAGGCCTTGACCAATGGTTGGACGATGCAAATTACAACAAACTACGCAAAAGCCTTATTGATTTTATAGTTTAATAGTGATTTAAAGTCTTCAAACCTGATTTCATCTGAGAAACATTCAACACCAAATTTTGAAATGCAATAGCCAGCCTCTGGTACTAGTCCTACAACCCTACCAAGTACACTTGCCACATTCACAATCCTTCCCTTGCCCTGCTTCAGCAAGGGGGTAAACACCTTAGTGACGTCAATCAAGCCAAACAGGTTAACGTCAAGCACCTTCTTGTACTCCTCCCTGCTCCACCAATCCATCGCACCAAGACAACCACCAATGCCAGCATTATTTACAAGACCCCATAAACCTAAAAATTAGAATCATTAAATAACACATTTCAAAATGAAGGCATATTTCATACTTGTTTTTATTAGAACATCTTCACAAAAAAAAAAAAAGGTGTAGTGGCGACTAAGTTACTGTTTGATAATTATTGCTCTCTCACAAAAAACAAATTCAAAAACATACAAAAGAAGATATACAAAAATATTGTGCATTCCCCTCATCCAACAGGGGCGGATCTAGGATGAAATTTAGGGGGGGGGGGGCCTCACTCGGTGCGAAGCACCGAGGGAGGTGGGTTTGAGAGGGGGTGTCCCCCTCCCAATATTAGGAAATTTTTTGAAAAAAAGTAACACTAAGACAGTCGTACACGGCATTCTATTCTAAAGAATTAGATTGTGTTCTTATTGTTAGGGAGTCGTGAAAAATATATTCGATAATTCGTAAACACGTTTTTCTGCCAAATCACTCTAATGACTGTAGTAGGTGCGATATATTATTACATATTATTATGTTGGCATTAATTGATTATATACTTATAAATAAAATTCACAAATACCGATGTACGGTAACTATACCAAAAGATTGCACGTTTATTCTATCATCTAGTGACCACATGTTCACCACCTTGTTGATGAGCGCCAGTGTAATCAACAAAAACAAACACCAACTGAAGTACTGTAGTAATAAATAGGCCTAAATATGATCTTTTTTCTTTCTTCTCTCCACCCCCCCCCCCTTCTCTCTCTCTTTTTTTATATATATATATATATAGAGCTCTCTTTTTTCCCCCTTTTTTTGGGGGGTCCCATGGCCACCCCCTTGCATCTGCCCCTGTCCAATATCTACTCTTTCTTAATGAAATTACTATGATACTGTACATGAACCCACCTTTTGATTCAGGGATTATCTCTTGGACATCATGCATCGCTTGCTGGACACTGCCGTGATCTGTGACATCCATCACTATCGTAGATGAACGCTGCGACAGCGACATCTTCAGTTTCTTGCTTGCCTCCTCCATCAGGCATGCTGCTATAACGTGAATTCCTTTCCCATCCAGTTGGATAGCCAGCTGATTGCCAAACCCTGAGTCGCACCCTGTGATTAACACATACTTGCTGCTTAAATTTGGTACTTTCGGAATTCGTAAAACCAACTCCAACAACCAAGAAACTATTAATAAGCATGCGACTGCAATTATGTACATGATCATGCTGTTAAGATAAACACAAAAATTAATAAAATAACATTTAAGATTAAATCCTTGAATGAATCACATAAAAAATCATAATCTTTTTAAATAACAATTATAAATAGTATTAACAACCATCTAGATCTATACCAGATGCAACCCCTGATAAAAAATATTCACCCCCTACACTGCAGTACAGCAGTGGCGGCAGAAGCCGAAAAGGGGGGCTTAAGGCCAAGCTCCCCCCTCGGACAGAGCTTGCCGGCAGTCTGACCATAAAAAATATAAAAATAGGCCCACACCAAGCCAACACATGCCTGTCACAGTCCGAGAGTGCCATATCCGGCCATCCAGAGGTTGTTATTCTTAAAAAATACTCTCATTTGGGAAGGGGAACCACTCTCAACCCCTTCCCCCAGCTCGGGCCTACAAGCTCAAGTCCCCTTTCGGACAGCTTATCCCCCCACCCCAGAAAATATATCCTAGAGCTGCCACTGCAGTAGAGTACAGTTCCTCTCCACTGATGCCAGTCACAAAGTTGTGGGGGTACCAGGACTTGAAAACAAGGGGGTGGGGGTTGGACTTAGATTCCTCCAATGGAAGCATAAGTGGGCGGAGAATGTTCAGAAATGATGTAAGGTGATCTAGGGGACGATCAAGCCCTAGTCTGGAAGCTCCAACTATTTTAAGATTTGCTGGCTCATTATTTCTGAAGTTTCACAATCTGAAAAATTTACTAAATTTATATTTCTTCTTAAATATTGTGTAAATCATTTCTCCCTGATAGGGGCCCTGGCTGGGTATCCGATCATTTTGGTTGTGCTGTATTGTTTATGCATTTCGGTCACAGTGTATAGAATAACGAAGGTGCAACCGCAAATCTACAACAAGGTAGCTCAGCAGTATAGTGTTATTTTTAACAAAACTTCAAACTGTAACATTAGTTTATCAACAATTATTTGTATACTGTAGTATTAAAGTTTATTTTACATTAGTACTTGGTGTTATTTTTCTTTCTTACAGAAATAACTCAAATGTTACTAAGTCAATGTTTCTTTTTATCATTTGTTGCAATATATATTTTGATTGCATGTATATTAATGCTTAGATTAAATGGAGATTTATGAAATAAGTGTATAGTCAAATATTAGTTTGTCACACGTTTGTATTCTTGTCAGTTACGTTCATTTACTAAATGTTCTGACATATAAATAAATGAAAATATACTGAATGATATATGATGAATGAAAATAAAGGAAATATGTTAGCCTTTTCATATTTATATTTTCCATACTTAAAATAATCAATATATATTTTATTTATAATTTAATTGCATACCGTACTTTTAATGCACCCCGCCTTGTCCCCCAACAATGCCACTAATGCTGCCACTCAAAAGGCAGTCCCCTCCTTCCCCTGATGTTTAGTGTGCAAAAGGCATTCTAGAATTATTTTGATTTCGAAATCGTTTTCTTTGATGAAAGCATGTATTTATGATCAGGCTGATTTGCTTGAACTCAATTCACACACGGACCGGGCGTCGGTACACTGTATGAATGAACACAAACACTAGACTACCGAGAGCCTACCAAAGAAGAGTGCTGTCAATCTTGTTCAAGTACGAACAACTAACAAAATTTATATACCAATTGTTCACTATATTATATACATTAATGTACCTACGTGTTGGCTATAGTTCAGGCACTGATGAATGAAACGTTCCCAACGTTACACGCACAGAAATGCATCGATACCAGTCAAAAAGGTCCGCTTAGCCCACAGCCACCACACTCTCTCTCTCTGTAAACACAGTTCCAAAGTTCCTAAGTTCACCTTCTTACCGGTACGTGTTATGAATATTCATAAGCTACTGTATATAAACTTACCCTCTTGCTATCTTGATAAACAATCAGTTATATCTGATAACAATGTTCTCAAAATGAAGCTCAAATTATCGGCTTTATTGTGTGCATTTTTATTATTCGTTTCACTATTGAATATTAATAAGAATAAAGAAAGTATATACATTGTATAACATAACAGACTGTTCCGTTAAGCCTCGGAGATTCCGTTGAAACGACGACGTAAACAACAAAACGGTATCAATCAATTTCACTAGTGTTAATAATAATAAAGATTATATTATTGATAAAATAATAATAATAATAATGATAATATTAATGGTGATGATGATGATAAATGATAATACTTATCATATTAATAATAATAATAATAATAGGGCCTAATGATAATAATAATAATAATAATAATAATAATAATAATAATAATAATAATAATTGGTTTAATGGTTTTATAAAAAATGGTTTAATGTTGCTAACAATAGCAATATGGAACTTAAAAGAGTAAGGTATCAGCATCCAAAATGTAGAGTGGAAAGGTATCAAAAAAGTGCAATGCCATTTCTTACTTCAATCCTATATGTGATTTTGGCTTAGCTGCAATAATAATTAAAATAATAATAATAATTATAGTAATGTTAATAATAATAATAATGATAATAATAATAGTAATTATGATTATTATTGATGATATTAATTATTAATTATATTGATTGATGGTTAGTTATTAATTGGTTGTTGCTGTAATTGTTATTATTAATTATATCAATATTAACTATTAATTAATAATAATTATTATTGTAATGACTATTTCAGTATATGAAAATAATTTAAATAAATAAATAATAATTATTATTGTAATGACTATTTCAGTATATGAAAATAATATAACAACGAATATAATAATGAAATAAATGCACGATAACTGATATTATACCCAGAGTTATTAGTCCATTTTAAATGACATTCACTTTTCTTTTTTTTCTGTTTAATTAAAATGTTGGCCGCTTTTTTCATGTTGCGTTTTTCTTTCCCAATTTTGATGTAATTTTTATTAAAATTGAATTTTGTGTGCAATGCTTGGAAGATTGGATTTTTTTCCTTTCCTTCTTAACTTTTTATATTTGATAATAATAATAATTATAATTATAATAATACAGTTATATTAATAATAATAACAAAAATAACTGATTTTATTACGTATTTGTTTTTTAACCTGTTGTGTACTACTGATGTTTCAAATTTTAATGTATTTTAATGTTACTTTTCTCTCCATTTTTCATGTCTTGTGTTTGTGTTTGATTGATGTTTTGATGTTTTAGTATTTGCCTACTTTTTTTAATTTTTAAATATCAAATGATTCAGCATTGGCTGCGATTTTGATTTGAAATAAAAGAAACTGAAACTGAATAATAATAATAACAACAACCATAACAAAAACAACAATAATAATAATAAAAATAATAATAATATCACTCCAACATAGGCCTAAACCTCAGTATGCCGTCATCTTCATCATCATCATCATCATAATCATCATCATCACCGTCACCACCACCGCCATCATCATCAATCATCGTAATTATCGTAATAATCATCCTCACACTAATTTCATCACCACTATCGTTACTCTGCAAAAGTTACCATTATACCTACTAATATGGATGTTCAAGATGAAGTTTAGTTATACTTAGAGCTACAATGCGTGATATAATAATATAATATAATAGGAATAATAAGAATAAAGAAAGTATATTATAACATAACAGACTGTTCCATTAAGACCCGGAGATCCCATTAAAACGACGGCGTAAAAGACAAAATGGTTTCCACCAATTTTACTAGTGTTAATTATAATAAAGATTGTATTAATAATAAAATAATAATAATAATAATAATAATAATAATAGTAATGATAATAATAATAATGGTGATGATGATGATAAATGATAATACTTAATAATAATTATCATTATTATTATTATCTTCAACATAGGCCTAAACATCAGTATGCCGTCATCTTCATCATCATAATGATCATCATCACCACCACCACCACCGCCATGATCATCAATCATCGTCATTATCGTCATAATCATCCTCACAATCATTTCATCACCACTATCATTACTCTGCTGAAGTTACAGTTATGCCTACTAATATGGATGTTCAAGATGAAGTTTAATTATACTGAGAGCTGCAATGCGTGATTAATGAGTAATTATATGCATGAACATTTCTACAGGAAAGATACGAAGACTAGTTACTAAACAATTTTCCAAAAACACCAGTGAAGGGCTGGACACCCACAAGTCCACTATCAAGGCAAATTTTATAGGCTCCATATATAGACATCTGGAGTTACTCAGTGATACGGTAGTAAAACAGCAATTGTATTTCACATCAAAGATTTTTGCTGGCTCCATTTGGATCCCTCACATAATATTTAATGTTCGAAAAATTGAAATGGCCAAACACACATTTTTTTGCATTGCATTTTAGTCTCTCCCTCATTTTGTTACCTTTTTCTTTTTTTCTGTTTTGTAGGCTAGGAAAGACAGATGCCAGTTTCAATTGTGCACCTGTGAATTATGAGCCTGCTAACTACATACATATATACATACAGGGTCGAGCCACCAGAAGTTGTCGTTTCGTTGGTAATTATCGTAAGACACCTGATACTTTACAAGTTCAACAACTCGATGGACCCACCTTAGACAGAGGTGGCGCCAAGATTTGTCCGACGGTAAGCTCGATGTAACCTACGAGTGCCGATGCACCCGACAAGGGCAAAGCGGGCGTGGTTGGGCGTCGTTAAAAGTCTTTCGAAAGTGATCTTGGGGGTGAATACCCCGAAAAATATGGCAATGCATGTTTTAAAGGCTTACGGTATTTAATCGATTTCAAAGTCTAATAATATGTATAAAATACTATTTTTTCTCCCAGACAAATTGTAATTTTTCTCCCCGTCCACCCCAATCCCGCCGGCGCCATCCCTGACCTTAGAACAGGGACGACAAAAAAACAAGCTTATTTAACATTAACAAATTGAAGCACAAATATACAGCCTAAATACATCTAAACATTCAACACTTCCCGGCCATCGGAAATTATAAGCAAAGCCGGGCACTCACTGCGTCGTACGACGCCGTATGCCCGTCGGCCGACGAATCCAGCTCCGCGCCCTGTGAGCGTTAAAAGACGCGACACCCCCACCTGCTGATTGCCGGTGACAGTCTGAACGAATCGTCATGTTTTGTCATTAAAAACGATCCGCTGGGCGCGCACGGTCGCAGCGTTGCTTCTTCCATTGGAAAATTGTCGGCCGACGGCTGACCTGCACAGTGAGTGCCCGGCTTAATGGAACCAAAATCCAGTGTCTATTTTAACCCGTGCATCACTCTATATTGGAACAACATCCATGATTAAAAGTTTCAAGACGGAATTGCAGAATGTAATTGTGGTTTTTCCCATTTTGATTTGCTTTTATAACCTTCGCTCTTGTTTTCAACTAGATATTGCTTGTACTTTGATGAATTAGAAAGTTTAAAATATCACTGTAGACTGGTTTCCGCCTATATAAAGTGCAACATAGGAAACGTGTAATCCTGATGATATCAACATTGCAGAAGTATGTACACAGTTATAACTAGAGCAGTCACTCCATAAAGTGCATAGCTCCGCCCTGTGCCTGGATACCGAACAATACGCAGGTTGGTTGTGGGTGATTCCATTATTTTTCTTTTGTCCACGAGGGTAAAAAAATCGAATTTCCTTGACCTTGTCCTTTGACTTTTTCTTCCCAAATTTATTCTCTTACATTATTATATGCCATTCCACTAAATTTTACGATTACTCATTCATTAATCTGTGAATATTGGTGGGGCTGAGGTAATCAATAAATTGACAAATCACAGTCCAAGAAGCTAGTTTGGGGATATTTCTAGTGGCGACAGCATAGAAATCCGAATAGTGGAATCGGTTCGCTGTTTTTGCTTTACCCGGTTTCCAGCGTCGGTAGGCCTACTTGTCGAATTTACATCAGCATTACTAACTGCGAACGGCTTTAGCCTAGGTTGTATTGGAGGTTTTGCTGATAGTGGCTGTTCACATTGTAGAACACCATCGCCACCACCGTGAAGACTAATTTGTGGTATAAACTGCGTGTCGTCTGCTGTCTTTGACCAGGACAAGCGTCGCGTCACCGAAGGCTGAAAAGCGTCGACAGTACTTTCATCTATTGAAGGCGAGACTTTTGCAGCGTTAAACGGATTAGGCTTCAACTGTAAAAATAGAAAAGTTGAATATTGAAATTTGGAATAATAACATTTAATACAACAAAACACAACACTGCATGATTAAAATATGTACAGTTGCTGAACAGAATTATTCAACCATCTTGACTTCGTCACTGATTAAGGACGCCTTATATTGAAACTTAATTCTTACTTGCGTTTGCAAATTCGGATGAAGGTTCAGTCTCTGCACTGTGATCAATTGTAACAACCGTTTGCGTGTTCGGCCCCTCCAGTAAAAGCTGACAAGTCTATCCACAATTAGCATTGGTGGGTGGAATGTATGTTCACACAATTATTATGCTAACGTAATCACTATGCGTTCACGAAAATTTCACTCCTTAAAACGCACTTCCAGCCATAACAACACTTAAGATTTGCTGAACAAAAATTACACAAGCTGTAAAAAATCATCTCATTTCCCCAACTACACCCCTTAATTTCTGATTGTGTCTTCTATCAGCCCCTCCCCCATTGTTAAATTACCATTGAACCAACCTCACCTTCAGTGACGTAGACAATATTTTAAGACTGTTTGTGGAGCTGGAGGAACTTGTATCGCTAGGGAGTGGACATCTCTTCTTGCTGCGTCTGCTCACTCTTTTTCTGGGCGATGAAGTTTCTTGTAGTCGAACATGTTGCAGAATCTGAAACACATGTATAATGATATTCGTGTTGTACTTTTTTGAAGACGATTAAAATAACAATATTAATCGATGATTGTTACTTGATTGTAACTTGCTGGTAAAAGACGCTCGACTTCCAATCAAATGCTTCTGCTCCCCACACCTTTAATTTATTTTCATGAACCCACAACGGTAAGCTCTGAACTTACTTTTTAATTGTGTGTGTTTTTTTAAAAATGTTATTCATGAAGCATTTTGGCAACCTATATACATACCTACCTTGTGTTCTAATACTGTATTGCGTGACTTGCGGCGACTAATTTTACTTGAGCGTTTGTTATCACTCTGATTCCTGCCATGTAAACTCTCAGTTGCACTAGATCCTGTGTAGCCACCACCACCACTACCACCACCAACACCCCCACTACCACCACCACCACCACCACCACTACCACGAGGTCGTGAACCAACACTGCCACTATATCGAGCCTGCCACGTACTGATGCTATCATCACAAGTTGTCACACTCGTCGAAGTGTTTGACGAGTCACCTGTACATGCAGTTGATGAACCAACAGAGTTTCTACGAAAGTTTAGCTATTTACAAGATAGTAATAATTAATTTATAATGACGATAGCATAGAATTATTGTACGTTCTGTGATAATGATCGTAATAAAAGTCCTAATTATCTAATTAAATAAAACAGTTTCGTTAACTTAAATTATTTCATGGATTACATTTTACGTCATAGTTTCCTTCACATAAAAACTCTAAGTTACTTATGAATTAATACTTGACAAAAATATAAATTTTACCCCGAATCTATTATGTGAACCGAAATTTGTCGAAGGAATTGTATCACTTTGACTAAATCGGCGTCCCGTAGAAGCTGTCCGGCTATAGTTATGTGTTGACGACGTGTTAAATGTTAGGAAATGATCAGAGCAGTGGCGACTGTTACGTGTTTCGCACTGAAAAATAGATGGATTCGTTAGTACTATTGGGAGGTCTATATGTGTAATGATTGTGACAGCCGGCCCCATGTATTCACATTATCATCTTTGGCCAACTCGCCGCATTCATTCTCCTTTTCAAAATATTCTCTATTATTAAGCAGGGCTTGCACCTCTCTTGAATTCGCCACTGCAAGGCTAATATGCAAATATTATAAAGGATGATAATGATGCACTTCAAAAGTTCTCGAATCTATCTGGATATAATGCAGCGCGTGTAGATATAAAGCTCGATTCACATTCATACGTTTACGCAAATGTAATCAGCCTGAGACGTAGTAACATCAATTCTTGCTAGTCAACGCGTGTAATTGCTCTAGTCAAAACCAAGCTTTATATCTACACGCACCAGGCCTGCGAGAGTGGTGCCACTTTAAAATATTAAGATGTTATTTATATACCTTCATTTCAACTACGGTGGGTTGGGCAGGTTGCGGCTGTAATGCGTTCTTCACGGCTTCGTTGAATACGATATAAATTAAAACGAAAGTTATTGCCTAAAAAAGACGCAATCCAAATAATGTTAAGAAGAGTTTCCTATGCCTTATTAGATATAGTTATAAGTTTTTTTAATCTGAGGCCTAAACATTATGTTGAATTAAAAGTTGATTTTTCGAAATATCTATTTGCGGTTACAATAGGCCTTTGTGTATCAAATTTAATTGATGTATTCATTAACTGATTTATCAAAAAACGTTGATTTAAGATCACTTAAAGGCCTAACAGAACAATTTGGAGGCCATAGAGAAATTAAAAATAGGCTAGGTTTTTTTTTTTACATAAATAACCTACTTCATGTCAACATATGCCTAACAATGCCTATTTTTTGTGCATAAATATATAAATTAAATCAATCATTATTAAGTCATATTGAATGTACTGTACAGCATGGTTTCTACGAAACGAAGCCTACCTCCAGAAGAAGCAGAATTGCAAACGCTTGCTGCAGAGTTTGGCTATCAAATCTAACGGCAATAAGAGCTGTTATCCAACAGGAACTCAGCAACACGAACAATATACATGTCCCTCCCAGCTCATTCCTTAATATAAGAATGTGAACTTTAATTATAACAATATAGGCCTATAAAGTATAGCAGGAATTATGATATATAGTAAACATATATAGATGCAAGAATAAGAATTACTAAATGTTATTTATGAGTGAAAATTTGCCTAAAACATTTATTATTAATATGAATATTATAGAATTTTCCAATGTAAAGAGTTAATGAATTGTTAAGTACACAAAAAAAAGTATATGTCTGAAATTTCAACCAATACATCAATAACATTTAATCAGCCAAACATATATCATAAAATCCCGCCAAGTATATTAAACAGTGTCGATATGAACAGGTAATGTACCTTAATGAACCTCTTGGTCTTTTGGCAAATTTGCTTTTACGATTCATCAATAAAACTTCATTTGTTTGAAGAAATGTCAGAAACAAAAGAACAATCTATAGAAGAGATTAATGAAGTGAAGTAATTTTTGGTTGCCGTACCAATAAACACGTCATAACAATTCCATAATTTCTTATATTCTATTAAAATATTATTGTCTCGTTAATTGAAAGTGTACGGCCTATCTAATTGTTTAGGCCTAATATAAATACATGCGATTTTCAAGTTCAATGATTTCACAAAAAATAGCATAAATACTTGTTTAAACAGTAAAATTCAGTTAACTCAAAAGGTAGGTATCACTCACCATTATAAGCACCACAACTGGTCCCAGAAAACAAAGAAATATATGCCACCTTTTGAAACATCTGTAAAACGACACATGGACCAATTTTAATTATACTGTTGATAATCGGTACGTGGTGGATTTGCAGTTTTATTCGATACATATCATACTTCATTCATTATTGTGGTGCGCTCAAACCGATAAAAAGTAAGTAAAATCACACGGTTTCCCCAACCACAGTGTATAGAATTTTCACCTATACTCATGAGTACTTTTATATTTTTTGTGTATTTGCTGCGAAAATAATGTTTTTGTTCAATTTTATGTTTTCTGTGTATCTACCAGTAAAAAAATTATATTGTATTTTGTTTTTTTTGTAAATTTAACATTTAATGATTTTATTCTACCAGAAGAAAAACAAACAATGTTGTTTCTTAAATCTGAAAATCTTACCATTCGTGCAATCGTCACTTGTGCGCACAGTTTGTTAGGTTAAATAGTTAAAGGGTTAAAGGTTATATACTTTTTAAAAAATATTTTCTTCATCGGTATTCTCTGTTCCTACCTTACTAATGCCGCATACTCTTCAAAATACAATACAGCACAAATAAGAACGAGAACAAGAGGCAAAACTGAAAAAATAAAAAGAAACAAAAAGAAACTCATCTTTCGGTATTCGTAATTTCGATACCGTATGTCATATAATATGAAGGTTAACGGTAAATTCCTCGATGCGTTTTAGGCCAGGATGCAGTTAGGATTCGATAACGAAAACTTCTAATACAGTGGCGTATCTAGGAGGGTGCGCGCGTGCGCCCCCTTCCAAAATTACTCGCGCCCCAGTCGCCCCATCCCAAAAAAATCACAATCAAGTTGTTAAAAATCACCTAAAATAATTTTATTTTGCGAATTAGCGCCCCTCAGCTGATCATCGAAACCCCCCCCCCCTTTACCTCCCCCAAGATGTGTATAAGAACCAACAAGACTTCTACATACGCCACTGTAGTTTCTGAGAGTGGTTAATATTAGAGTATGGTTACAATTAGAGTGGGTTACTACTTAGCTTAATAGGCACCTGAAAATAATAGACCCCCATCAACACGAGCCTTTCGTGTCAAATAATTGATTCAATTTTATAGCGACAAAAAATGTTGATTTGAATGCCATTTTTGTCTATAGTTTTGGTGACTAATAGTAACACAATGGGTTATTATTATTACTATTAGCTGGGGTTTATTACTAGAGTAATGTGTTATTATTAGGAGTTTTACGGTAGTACTGTATACTGTACATTAAAAAAAATCATTCTTCGGCCTATTACAAGTTTACCAAACAATAAACGTCTAATGCGGCATGAAAGTATCTTACCCCATCCTGTAAAATGGTAAACCCAGGTGCGAACGGCATTCTTAAGTGAAGTTGCCCCAATGTACAGTCTCATAGTCTCCAGTAGTATCCAAAGAAACTGAGAGTTTACCCAATATTGAAAACCAACGACAGCTAAACGGCAAATTGTCTATAAGATTATATTTAGAAAAGTATTGATCGATGGAAACTTCGAAACCTTGGAGAATAAAACTAAATTCCCGTTTCTAAATGTTCACAATTATCGAAGATCTAATGCTACATCAAGAAATCGAAGGAAACAACAATTGTGTTTTCGTCGTATGTAGGCCTACTAATCAAGGACTTACAACTGTTAATAAGTAACAGTTATAACTCCTTGTGCTAATAATAATAATAACACAGTAGCAACATTCTAACAACAAAAATAATAATAATAATATTAATTATAAATTAATGATATTAACAACAATGATGCTGAATCTAGATTACAGTAATTCTATACTCACATTATGCTTTTCTGTTTGGAATGTAATAATGAAGAAAATGACAGTACCTATCATAGAAAGTGCTAAGCAACAGCGCACAACCACTGTCGAAGTTTCTAGAAACCTGCAAAATATCAATTGGTCTCTTTAACTATGTCACACATAGTGCTAAATGTACGAATTTGACTAAGTATTTTTATAACGGGTAAAAACAATATGTATAAAAGATGTTTATATAATTACCTCTATGAAACATATTTATACAGGTAAATCATCTAGGCCTATATAAAAGTATTTATAAACGCCGTTTTTATATAGACCTAATATAATCAGTGCCGGATTTAGAGGGGGCGTAAGCCCCTCTATTTTTTGTGAAAAATAATTTTCGTAAAGCTTATCAGAAAATTACCAAGCTAAATAGTAAAATAATCAAATATAACATCTAATTAATAAAGGTGCTAGAGGTTTAAGGGAGATTAGTTTCCTTGTACCCCTACCAGGGGCTCTTCCTAAAGACTCCATACTCAGTTCGCACATTCACGCCCCCTCTTTCTTGTGGGGCTGGATCCACCCCTGATAATACACATTTAAAAAGTATTTTCAACCTATTAAATTACATTATGTAATTAAACATGACTGTTTATATACTCTTAAAAAAGGTGTATAGATATGTACTAGAACAAATATGATTATTATTAAAAATAATCCATCGTTAAATACGTAAATGTCTATAGGTGTATATTTTTACCTTAGTGATATCAACACGAGTACAGCCACAAGTAGAAGAACTATTGCAATACTTGCACAAATGTACGTTATAATTAGGAGCCATTGCTCTTGGTCAATCTGTAAAGCAAAAGAAAGCATTAAAGGATAAATATAAACTTACTGAGAGCAAGGCATTTTATAAATATTATAAAGCATCGATGTCTGAACAGAAGTTAAGATTTGGGAGAAAACACGGAATGGAATTGTCAGACGTCTCAAAGAGTTTTCCTCGTATAGATTACTACCAAAATACATACATAAATGTGATATAACTTACCGGCGGTTTTGTAGATGGTTCGCAACTGGTGAAATTGGAATCTATCCACATACCCGTGGATTGAACAGAAATGCAGGAACGAGTTAGATACATGTAGTCTGAGAATTATAAATCCACAATTAGGTATATCAAGTCATAAATCCAGGCTCCTGAGGAGAATAATGTTGGTATGTTGTACAACTGATAAAACGTTTTTTTTTGACAAAAAACTCGTTCACGATTTTTGAATATTTGAAAACTGTGAGAAAAGGGGCGTAACCACTGTTTTTTTCACCCTGTCCCCACAATTTTTAAACATTCAATAAAATGTATCACATTAACTGTTCCCGATTGTTTTCGTCAAAAGAATTTTTTATGTCTTAGAAAAATCAGTTGATTAACATGTAAAACAATTATTTTCCTCCGGAGTCTGGCTTCAAGTTCACATTAACCGATATGTCTGGTTTCCTAAAGTGCAGTCGATTGCTTGAATGAATGACTGTTTGATCAATCGATCGATTTATTAATTGATCGATATTTGGTTAGATGGTTGGTTGAATGAATATTTGATTGATTGATTGACTAATTGACTTATTGATTGATATTGGTTGATATATTAATTATCTGGTTAGTTCATGGCTGACTGAGTCAGTTCGCTGAATGAAGCTCTGCGATGCTAGTGAAAACTACAGAACAGCGGAAACTTAAATACTGTAATTGATTTATTTTTAGTTTAATTTATTGATTGAATGATTGATCGATACTGAATACTGAAATAATTTATAATCCAACATAAAATAAGGGAATGCATTCAAAAACTGGCAAACATCGATTGCTCAATCAATAAATCAGTGTGTAGATTATGGAATAGGCCTAACTTAAATACTCAGCTTGTTTGCTATCTGAAAGATATTTTTTAATATTGATTATTGATTTATTGGTCAATCAATTGATCAATACATTTATTGATTGATTACATTTGATAAGACCTACCTGTAGAGTTGGGACACGCCATTGAGACCACTACTCCAGCTAATGTAGGATACCAGGTGACACCATTTAAAACATCTTGTGGGCACCATTCACGGGATGCTTTAGTGGAATTTACTGTTTGTAATAACATTATAATGATAACGTCAGTAGGTAATTTTAATTATTATTATTATGATTATTATTATTATTAATATTATTATTATTGTTATTATTATTGTTATTATTATTATTATTATTATTATTAATATTAATATTATGAATCCTAATACTTAACATAAGATTAAAACAGTCAGGCCAATATTGTATACAGTATACTATACCTGAAGAATCATTCACAACATAGGTGGATTGTAAGGGGAAATTTATGAGAGATGACGTTTCTTGGGGCCAACGAATAGTTAAAGGCGTCGTTCTGATATTTATGCTGGATGATGAATAGAGATCGAACGAAGAACTATGTATCGGACTCGGTAACGCGTTGGAAGAAGTGGCAACTGAAGATGAGAAAGTAGGCCTAATTGACAATGATGATGTAACCGCTTCAAGTACTACACTTTGGAGGGTTGAAATTATATAGGATGACGTAATTTCCGGTAAAGATGATGATGATGTTAATGAAAATGATGATGATACTAATGATGATAATGATGATGATACTGATGATGATGATGGTGATGATGATAATAATGATGATGATGGTGACGGTGACTGTGATGATGACGATGGTGATAATGATGATGATAATGATAATGATGAGGGTGATGATAATGATGGTGATAATAATGGTGATAATGATAATGAAAATGATGATGAAAGTGTTGGTGATAATGATGGTGAAGGTGATGATGATGTAACTATGCTATTTGTAGGCTTAGCTGATGAAGAAGGGGAAGAGGATAATATCAGGTCACTGGATGAAATATACAGCGTGATGAATAGTGAACTATCAGCAATAGTCGAAAGATATAAAGTCTGAACTTCAGACATGATAAGGCTGGACATGATGTTTAATGACGAGGATTGGGTTATGTCCATAGGCGTCGATGTCAAGACTTGAAAGGAAGAAACCTCGTATTCAGTCTCTATATAATAAATTTAAAGAAAAAACAAAACAAATATCAAAACTATTAAAACAAGTTAACGTGGTGGTGTGTCATGTGTGCAGTATGACATTATTTGATAATAAAGTGCTTCAAAAGTTAGTACGTAACAGTTGAACAACCACATGCCACATTTTGTTTAGTAAAATCGAACTAAAAAACAAAGCAATTAAATTGAAACAATACACATAGCAAAAGTGTTCTCCAAACCTATTATATAAGTGGTGTTTACTTCGGTAGCGAGACTATACTCTTCAAACACTGTAGTGTACTGTATCGACGGAGCAAGAAAGAACGATGACGTCACAGGTAACGAGGAGGTGGAAACGACAGACGGTTCCGCAGGAAATATCACCTCGACCCCTGACGAGAAAGTAAAATGAATGCCATGCGTCTTTGTTAATGAAACTAATTAAAGCGGCTCTCTCACGATCGGTCTTTACAACTCATGAATTATGACGTTTATGACGTCAGCGCGTGTAGATCTAAATGAGGGTACGCGCTGCATATCTGAGCCAATAGCAGGACTGAGAGCTCAACACATTTTAGTGTTGGATGTTGAATTATTCCAAATTCAGTCGACTAAAAAGTGTAAAAATTGTGAGATAGCCGCTTTAAATTACATTTTTGTGGGTTTTATTGAGGAACTTAAATATAATCAATTTAGTACAGAGGTTTAGTAACACATTATCGCTCCGTTCCGACGTACAGTTTTGCACCTGAAAGCAAGGAATATGAGTTAAAGTGCATCGTGATGAGAAAGAATGATAATATTAAGATGACTTTTTAGTATTTCCTATTGACGAGAAAAGAGCTTTGCAAAACTATCACACCTGAGACAAATATATATACCATATTTATTCAAATAAACGCCACGGGCACTTTTTTCTGAGGAGGGGCGTTTACTCGAGGCAGGCGTTTAATCGTGAGAGACATTCATTTTTTTGAATGTAAAATGGATACGATATACTCTAATAAACATCCTTAATTTAATTTTAAATGTGGAACTACAACACAAAATTACCATCAAAATGTGTTATTGCGTGTTCATAAAGAACTATTAATCCCAACCATGTTAGAAAAAATGTAATTCTATTGGAGCATGCAGAATATTAATAGAGTCATGTTTAGAAAAGTTTCTTCCATTAGTTTTGTTTACAGCCATTTTGAGGAAAAAGGAGGTGAATTCAACGCTTCGGGGCGTTTATTCCAGGAAGGTGTATATCCAAAATTAGGCTCTCGATGTGGCGTTTATTTGAATATATACAGTAGTTGACTCAGATCAAACTAACGACGACACATAATAACGAGAAAAAGATTGCATACAAATACTTTTGTTCACTCAGTGCGGTACACAGTGCATTTACTCACAGACACAAGTAACAACATCATTACAAATATATGATAACAAAAATAGCAATAGTAATTAAATTGTTGATGGTAATAATAAAATTAATAACAAATATGATAATTAACAATGATAATAATAATAATATTATTATTATAATATTATATATCATACTTATTATTAACATTATATTCATTTATTAATTGATTAGGTAATTGATAGAGTTTTAGTAACCAAATATTGTTTAGCTACACTAATTTCGAAAATACGAATCATTATCAATTACCTAATTAACATAAAGTTTAATTAGTAATTATCGATTAGCAATTAAATAGTCACCTAATTCATATTTGCATATGAATCCTTTCAAATCCGCGCAAGGTCTATCTCTCCAAATTCCAGTTGCTTTCGTGTCTCCAGTTAAAATATCAATGCACATCTCTTCACCTGCCGAAACGGAAATACAAACTGAGTATCGGAACTATCACCAAGGCAACCGTTGCTTTTGCGATTACCGCCGTAATTAAGTATTCAATAATACAGATCTAGGATTGCGGTAATTTGTTGTATGATGATAATGTAATGAGATTGTTAGTAGTACACCCCACACTGACCGTTTTGACTATCACATGGAGAATCCCAATTGATTCCAAAATTGTGAAGAGTAGGCCTATTGAGGTAAAATTTTAAAATTAATATTTTGTAATTTCATGGTGACCTTTCCGCTTAGCCATCACACCCTACCCGCCACATGCTATTATGATTGGTCAGTTGTTAAACAGCAGGTTTAAGCAAAGAATATAGAATTAACGGTACCGCTTATTTATCTGCGAGGTACCGGTATTGTATATATTTTCTTTATTTAATTCTCAATCGTAAGCCAATAACTCACAATAGGTATAAAATAGGTTTCAACAATCATGATATTTAATGTTATGGTTGAAGTTTATTAGCTCAAAACAGAAAGTATATAATATTATGTAAACTGTTAAAGTAGGTCTAATGATATACAGTATTTACCTTCTCGCTTGTCCGGTTGTCCCGCCTCCCAGTGCGTGTTGTCGTCTGACAACGTTACGCCATTTTCCCATATATAAGGTCCACCTGTCTTATGTTGACGCAGACCAATCCATAAATATCCGTGACTAAAGGGAGGATCTATTTGTTCGTTGATGAATCTCGGGAAAAACGGTATTAAAACAAGTTAATATGTTGTTTAAAATTTAAATAACTATCTTAATAATGTAATACTGTACTCTATAGTATAGGCCTATGTTTTATTAACATGTTGCTCCAACAAATGACATTTAAAATGAATTGATGAAAACATTATAATGCTTATGTTACTGTTATCGAAGTTCGGTAACATTCTATATCTTAATATAATCCTAAACGTATCAATACAATATAATGTTGAAATAATAGTTAAATAATTATAACATATAAGCTAACGTAAAACTTACCTTCTTTCCGACTCACTATCATAGTATAGGAGTCTTGACGAGTGCTGCGCCCGACATCTTGACCGCGCATCGTCCCAGCTAGCTAAGTCTGATTCAATCGCACCACTGCTATTTGGATGAATAAAGTAACAGAAGTTTCCATTGGTTACCCAAAAATCTGGACAATCACGCTCTTCTGAGAAATGTAAATGAAGAAAATATGATTGATATATATGAAAAGATATATGATATTGCCTATATATATATATATATATATATATATATATATTATATAGGCCTATATATAACAAAGAAAAAAATGATAAAAGCAGTCCTTAAATAAGAATACATTATGCTATACAAAAAAAAAACGACATGGCAATACTTCAGCTGCTGTGCGATCTTCAATAATATTATACTCGATTGTTTCTGTATTATATAGGCCTGATAATATAGTTATGTTAGGCAATTGTAAGTATTATCTTACCCGTTTCAAGCTGGCAATAGGCAAACCAAAATACAGAGACAGTAATGACGATATGTTTCAAGCCTAGTGTCATCCTTGAAGTGTACAGCCTCCGAATTAGTACAGGTCGGCGTTGTCTACACAAGCTTCCTATCGCCACTCGCCACCCTTTTCACCGCAGTCGTCTACTAACACCTGCTTTGAAGGATATATCCCATTAGAACATTTAAAAATCAATATTAAACGGAAGAAAACAACGACCAAAGAAACAAAGTGAGAAAAGATTATTATTATCAGTGGAATAAGTGATGAGTAATTGATAATGAAATTATTATTATCAAAAATATGATTATTATTTGATATTATAATTATAATAATTTTTGACAATTCAATACAATGCACTTGAATGTAACACTGTCTTAGTAAAAACATTTAAATAAAAACATCGAATATAAAATTATTAAATTTGCCATTCTTAGCCTTGTTGGGGGAGGAGGAGTGGTGGCTGGGGGAGGTGCGTTCTCACGCCTGCAACTCCAGCCTACCCATGCGTATAGTGTGCATACGCACAGGCACATATAAATAGGTCTACATACACATCTTATATAAACACATATGCAGGTTATATATTCCAATACCTAAATACAAAAACTGATAGACAATAGATATAAAGGCACATATATGAATATGTATATATACAATGAACACACTCGTATAATATATATACATACATACACATATACACACACACACACACACACATACATACACGCGTACACACATACAACATATTGAAATATACGATATTATATATGTATATGTATATATATATATAATTTTGAAAGGCAAATGGGAAAAACCCATAAAACAGCAAACGGCCATATAATGCAAAACAATTTAAATTTAAAATTAAAACGGAACAGTAGAGAAAATCCGATCAGAATGACAAAATAAACTAAGCATCCACTGGAAG